GAAGCCGGGGGAAGAGCAAAGGTCAGGAGCTATTCTCAATAGGCCCCACAGATGGGAACAAACATTTTGGTATCTTCCTCCATAACCTTTGGTGACAGATAGTCTTATTACCAGACACTACCAGAGAATGGCCATTCTCTGGTTTCATTTGCTAGTATAGATGCTCATTGTGATCAGCAAGTAAAGGACACTCGCACAAACAGAACTGTACAAGTCTATGTAGCTTTTCAGATATGATCTGCAATGTAGTATGTCTAAAGAACTCAACTGGACCTGGACCTCTTGGCCACACCAAAAAAGATGCACTGGTGCCCAAAGGGGCAAGATATGCTGATCTTGCTCTTTATTTTTTCACCTCTCTCCTATAAAGCTTTTTAGCTTAGCTTTTAGGTACAAAGAACTCATCTCAGTTCTGATACAGACTCAGACACCACACAAGGATATTGCGAATAGCTAAATGGAAAGATGCCAATGTACAGAGAACAAAGCAGAAAAAGAACAGGTTCCAGAAAGGAAAATTTTGTAGGAGGCAGAAAAAGTGACGATCTGTGCTCATATACTTTGAGTGCTGCTCATAGCCACAGGATCCTTGTAAACAACTGCCTTAATGAAGAGACATTTAGAAAAAAGGAGGTGTCTTACCACCCAGATCAGAAACTATGAAATAGAGGCCATTTAGAAAACTCTCAAGAGTGGTCTTAGGTCTTGTTGAGGACAAGGCAGCAAAAATAGCCCTAATGCATCATTCTGACGATACAGCTCCATAAGATTTTAAACTGATTGCTACTGGCACAAGTAAGGTCTTGCCAACGCTTTACACCCAACAAGAGAACAGTCTTGTCATGAATACAGCAAATTAGTCATATGAAGTCTGTCCTACTTGTACTAAAGTTTAAAAGGAGGCTTCCACATCACTGAAGGTAAGTTCTTCTCTTCACTGTATGCAAATGTAGTATCAGACAGATACCTGAAGAAGTGGAAGGCAAAATAGATGAAGAGAACTAATGCAAAATATTTAACCTAGTTTTGTTTCGTTCATACACCCTGCATTACTTTTAATCCAGATTACAGAAAACTGTTTCCTTCTCAGCAAGCAGATTTCACCTACTTACAGACAAACAGGGCTGGCCTCAGATGAGCTAGTATATCTAAGAAAACCTCCAATGAGTTTACTGACCTACTGAAACATCAAAACTTCAAAGATTAGCAAACTTTTCTGAAACTGAACTTTGAATTTACATTGAATTTAGGATGAAAGCTCTTCTGAAAATGAAGAGCCACAGGAGAAAGCTAGAAATTCAGAAGCTTTGGTATGTCCATTGATTCAACAAAAATGTTCCTCTACAAGGAAAAAGACAAATTAAGAGACATGAGCATGACTGCTTCAGCCCAATAAAAGAGATCCTACAAAGATAATTTAATTATTTTGTAGGAGATTAAATTATGGTAGTCAAGCTCTGAAATATTAGTGGGTTCACAAAACAGAATATGTGCTATGGAAGCTTTGAGTCTCAGTAAATGTATGAAAACCACGACTGGGGACAACTAGTGTGTTCTGCCAATGACACACTATAGGTACAGGTTTGGCTTACAGGCTCTAGCAACTTTCTTCATAGGAATGCAAAGGAAATCTGTTTTGTATGTCCCACAGTTATTGCCATCTTTCAAAATACACCAAGAAGTGTTCTGAGGTGTCTGAATTTCATTTATTAATATTCTATGAGTTAAAAAGCAATGGGCAATTTATCATCTGGAGGACAAGTTACAAAAAAAAAAAAAAGTTATCAAATGTTAGAAATCTAGAAAACACCTATTACCTTAGCCACATTAGTTAGAATACTACAGGCAGAGCTAGCTAGGTATTTTAAAATGCAAATTATTTCCTGTACTTTCATCTGACCTTATGCAAAAATGCATTATTTTTAATTGTAAAAGTAAAAGAATTCTAGTTCAGGTCTGTGAGAATGGAAGCAAACCCCCCACATTTCAAAACAATCCATAGCTGTTCATCAGCAATGTCTATCCTTGCCCAGAAAGAGACAAAAAGCACCATATGTCAATATCTTCACAGAATTAATTCCTAATTACGGGTCAAGCACCAATATTTGTTCACATATTTAAGTATCTGATAACATGTTATTCTTTAAACAGCTTCATGATTTGTCTCCATAAGGAACTTCTGTGTTTTATTTAGAATACATCCAGAAAATAAGGTTGAATATTTCTTAATTTACAGAGTCGGTTTCAGAATACCTATAAATTCAAGTCTGCAATCCTAAGTGGACAAGAGCTTCCTTTGTTCCAGTTACTCCATTATTGCAAAATACAGGCTGATGGCAACTGATGAACACGGATGTATCTTTCAGTCAGTTACCTTATAAATCTCAGGGGGAAAGACCTAAATTACAAATGAAAATAGCCTATGGTTTTTATCAAAACCTACGGTAGGAAATGGGTATGTATTCAACGTAGCTGTCATTCATCTGAAGAATGGATCTGTAACTACACATGTGCCCAGACTGATGTTTGAATTTATGTTCAGAATGTTTAAAAAATTTCAACTGCCTCGTTATGTTTTTCTATCATGATTAACTGTGCTCCTGTAAATCCTGCTTAAATGTGAAGCTGGACGGTTCTTAATGGTAGGGAAAAAATGTCATAGGTTTGCACAGTTATGCACTGTTGAGGCCACAGAGGCCTAAGAGCAAAAAACATATCTCCTTTTCTTCTAGTTCTCCAGGCACATTGCAGACTAGGGAGTCTGGACTTTAGCAGCAGGAGTTGGAACATGATCAAATCAGATTATTTTATAATACTGCAAAGTGTCCTGACTGCATGAAAAGGTGATCTTTTTGCCTTTTAAAAAACCAAAAAAACCAAAACCCACAAAAAACCCCAAACAAAATCCATCAATTTCTTTTCATCTTTTCACTTCTTTAGTAAAGGGGTTAGCTTAATCTTTTCCAGGTAGACAAATGTACAAAAGCTTTTGCAGTAATGACTGCTGGACAGGATGTATCCTCCAACTTACATGCTTTCCCTGAGGCCTTTTCCAGAAAACATCTTCAGTGGTTGCAAAAACATATATTCTCACAAGGTTTTAATTTGCCTCTTCCTTGCATGGAAAATTTCTGTGATTATTTAATTAATTTTCCAGACTAAATAAAAGGGTTTTCTTAAGATAAACCACTAGACTCTTGATGAACTAGAATTTCTTGCTTTTATATCTCTTACAAAGCAGCAGTTCCTTCAGTGCTGCCAGTCTATGTGGGATATATTTATTTTAGATTTTTATTTGGCTATCACCATTAATGTTGTTCTTTCCACTGTCACATTCAATCTGCTTGACATCAGCATGTCACCAATAGAGCAGATGTCACTTTATTATGGTTGCCTTTTCTTCTTCTTTTTCCATTGTAATTAGTGATCTGGTCTTTCTTGATGTGCTACAATTTACTTGCAGCAATAAAGGCACTCTGATGGGGACAGGGTGATATAACCTGGAGTGACAGCCAACAGAGTGGCAATAATCTACTAAAAGATTTGAAACTGAAAAGAAAAATCTATCTTGCTCAGCTAAGCAGCCTGAAGGATCAAAGGATGCCAAGCAATCTTCCATCTGAAAAACACCAACTGTACAGCAAAATGGTACTTGTACTTGTTAATGGCTTCTCGGATTGCTAGCAACAAACATGCTGTAAATATATTAACAGGAGGAGTTCATTATATTTACAAGGAGGTCAGTATAATAATGCTCTAATTCCTCTAGTACTGTTTCAATAATCGGTTTAAAACTGGTTTAAACATATATGTATATATTTATACATATATTTAAACACTGGACCCAGGTCTTGTAATTTTTCTTCAATTTGAGTATAAGATGGAGCTTCTTTTACAGTCCCTGACACTGTGTCACTTAATAGCATGGCTGCTGGCTGTAAGAGGCTCAAAATGCCATTTGTAGTTAAAAACTCTATTTTCAGGTACATTGTCAAGTTTATTCATGCAGAGAAGTAATTTTACTTTCTGACCTTTCTGCCGGACTGAACAAAACAAGTGCAGATGTATTTTAATATCCTTATATTCGAGTGAATTGTGACTGCAGTTGAAATTGCCAGAGTCCCCTGAACTGTCCACATTAATTTACTTGCAATACACTTGGCCAAACCCTTCCATTTTAGATATTTACTTATTTTTGTTTAGATTTATAGTGAAGTTAAAAAATTAACAACATAGAAAATCAAAGCGTTCTAGTGCACTTTAATCAGATGTATAAAGTACTAAAACTGCAGTGCTTCATACAGGCCCAGGTTTTAGAATAATAAGATTTTTACTTAACAAACTAATTGTGTTCAGCTGCATAATTACTTCTTATGGCAAGGAATAACTTAACTGAAAGGCTAAGTGCAAGCCCATGTGCACTTAAACACATTGCTGAAGCAGGGCATAATACCTAAGATTTTCTCCTTGGGATAACAAGAAATCCTATGGAAGTTTAATGACCTAACAGCAAAAAGAGCTTAGGGCTCTTTCAGAGAGGGTACCTGTTGTCACTCCTCCTTGATCTCTTAGGGAACTGGACTACCTGCTTAAGTCTGACCTCATCCCCAAAAGGTTTGTTTTCACTGGTACTTTTGAAAGCCTGGAATATCTGCCAGAGGACATGCTGCAAGATGGCATATGTTAATAAAAACAGTATCTCTTGGAGTCTGGAAAGACTGAGTAGGTTATAAGGTGTTATCACAGAAGTTGCAATTAAGTTACGCACGACACCGATAGACACAAGGAGAGCAGCTCATCACTCAGAAGTTATTAAAAAGTCAGATAAATGAGCAAAGGATCTGAAAAGCTTAAAAAGGCCTGTTGTAAATACAGATAACCAAAGAGAATACCAGAGGAATTAATGGTTAAATCCAAAGATTACTCTTGAAAAACAGCAGGTGCTGAGTGGAGCAGCTACGCAGGAGTAACTGTGCACCCACAAAATGTAAATCTGGAAAATGGCAGAGGAACAGGTCACTGTGGTGCTGACTGGAACAAAGGGGCTCAAAAGGGTAAGCACGGGGCAGAATTTTGCTACTGCAGCTTCACAGACTCCAGCATGAACAAAGGCAGTTCTGACAAAGCCATACAAGGTGCATTTGCATGAGTGTCTGTGAGAGTAATGTAACTAGTTTGGATAAACAGGCAACATGGCATTAACTGATGTGCTGCCTCTTTGCCCTCACAAAGTTTATGTGATCTTTATGAGTAACTTGAATGTCTATATTGATTAAGCTATTACCTGCATGACTTTCTGACTGTGTGAAAAAATGTAAACACAGAGCTGAGAGACTATCAACAGGGACATGAACTTTTCACATAATTGTATTTTTTTCACAGAAATTATGTAAGTAAATATATTAGGCCCACAAGCTTTAACCTATTAATGTGTGTATTTTTTTTTTACTACTTTAAGAAACTATTTTTCTACTTTAAAATAACACCATTTGTGCACGATGCCTCATTCATCAGGGCTACTGCACAAAGAATCAAAAGGCAGTTTTATATTACATACATATTCTGTATCTAACTCTGATGCGTAAGATTATGAGCAACTCATTACGAAGCTGCCAGCCTGTAGCGACACCAGGACAAAGAACCTAAGCATCCTGCGCTCCCTTGACACACAGAACCAGCCTCTTTTCGTTGGCCCAAGTGCCGCTCCGCGCTCCCGCGGGGGCGGCCGAGCAGCGCGATTCCGCTCCC